GTTGGTTCTTGATGATTAAACATTACAAACTTGGCCCACATCTGTTCCCATATTCCTAGAGTCAATATATCACATCCATATGGGTCTCTTCAGATTGATACAATTGAATACTTGCTATGTCCTATTTCACTAATTTGAAGTTTTTCTAGTGAGGTCAAATAAAATTTAATATTAAATTAAATAACTCCTAGTACTTGTTTGCCTATTCCACGAAAGGTATCCATTTTCACTTGGATATTATTAATCTAAAAATGCTTATTAACCCTGGAAGAAGTTTACCTTTCTCCTCAACATATACTCTGATACCTGGCTATTGTCACATCTTCTGTCACACTTGGTCACAGGAACACTATGTCTGATGTGGTGACCAGGAGCATATCATGAAGGAAAGAACAGGTAATTACATACATGTCCTTCACTTACAGTCTATAGGCCTAGCTCACCAAGGCAAAGCCACCTCTTACCATCTTTGGGATTTGGTCCTATGACCTCTGCAGACAAAATTTTGTGGATCTAAAGTCCTTTATATGAAATGGTATAGTGTTTGCCAATACCTTTACATATCTCTGTGTAATTACTCTAGATTACTCATTATACAATGTAAATGCCATGTAAATAGTTGTCCTATTGTATTACTTAGGGAACGGTAGTAAGGAGAATAAAGTCAGTATATGCTCTGTATGATTTCAAATTGTTTTTCAAATATTTTTGATCCAGGGTTGGTTGAAGCTATAGATGCTGAACCTACAGATACCAAGCTTTGACTGCACAAATCTTTAACTTGCATGTATGTTTACATACCATATCATGCACACACATACACACACACAACACACACACACACACAGCAGTCCCTGTTTCATACTAATGGCTCACTTGCTACAGCCAGGGACAGTCGTCTTCTTGTACCCTGGGTGAAGTCACACTTTTCCCTGCGTAGTCTTGCTACTCTGGCTCTCATGATTTGTGATATGGGACTGCTGTTACTGTGAGCATCACCGACAAGGGCAGTGGAGAACACTAAAGGCTCAATGATGCTTCTCCTCCCAGGCCTCTTTGTGGGATCTTTGGCCATTTCTCACAACTAGACAAGTCTCTAGCCTCCCCAAACCTGCTCATCTTATCCCAAGTCCCAAGAAAATGTCTCTGCATCTATTTTCCTGCCACTGGGATAATTGATATCACCTTGTCTCTATGGTTAAAATAGACAGCCCAAGGCTGGGGATTTAGCTCAGTGGTTTCACTGCCTGCTGCGCAAGTGCAAGGACCCAAGTTTGATCCCCGGTACCAGAAAAGAAAAAAAAAATAGGCAGCCCACAGATAACTGCTTCCTTCTTTCCATACTCCAAGATAGAGGCCACAGTTGGCTCATGGCTTCATCATTGAAGGTGAAGAAGGGGCACAGCCTCTGCAGGAAGCCCCAGCCCTGTGCCAATGTCACACAATGGGACTAAGCTGGTACCATGATTTGCCATTGTCATTCAACATCTAGCTTGGAGTAGGGTCTTTGAGTGGGCCCTAATATGTCTAAAGTGTCTTTCTGTGATTCTGGACAATTTGAGAAGTAAAAGTGTTTCAATACAGACTGAGATATCACCTTCATCTTCATCAACATATGCCAGGTTTGAGACAGCAGCTTAGCGTGAAGCTTCAGAGCCTAACCGAGTTCCAGGCTGAGCCATCTGCAGACATCTCTACCCCATCACTGCTGTGAGCATCAGAGCTGGCACTATGAACACTCAGCCAGTGAAACTGGCAGCATGGAGCATCTGAGGAGCAGATTGTTCCCAAAAGGAAGAAGAGTTGAGCTGAGTTGAGTTAGGTTTTTTTCTGCATTTCTATCTAATAAGTTACACTCCTTCTTCATTCTCAAAATAGTTAATCAAGTATGAAGGCCTAGAAGTGTACTAATTTTGAGCTTGTCATAGGAAGTATCACAAAATAAGGAGGAAGTCTTTGACAGATGCCTGATCCTGCATGAAGTAGCCTGTGACGGTTCATCTTGATTGTCAACTTGATTGGCTTCGGCGATATCTAGATAAGTAAAGCACACTTCTGGGGAGCTTGGGTAGGTCATGGCGTCGTGACTTTGGAGACTATATCTGATCTCTGCCTCCTTCCCCTCAAGCTCTTCTTGTCTTGCTCTGCTTCCTGGCTGCCATGAGATATGTAGCTTTCCTCTACTATTGCCCTAATACCATGATGTTTCTGCATCAGCACCAACTTACCATGGACCAAAACCTCTGAAACTGTGAGCTAAAATAAATTCTTTCAGGCTTAAGTAGTGTATGTCAGGTATTTTGTCTCAGTAACAGAGACCTGAGTAGTGCATAGTCAATAAAACTATGGTTAAAATTTTTTATTTGTTCACAATTTGGAGGCTTAGAAATTTAGGTTAATTCAACTGGGTAGGTCTCATGCTGATCTTTTCTGAGATATCTAGGAGATGTGTTATCTGACAGCTTCATGGGCATGGTTAATAAAATAGAGCCTGACAAATATATCTGGTGGTTGGCATAGGCTGTCTTCCAAGTGTCAATTTATGGTTGTAAGAAAGTGAGGGAAGTCCAGAGCCCCTTAAAATCTATACTTAAATTCTCAAACTGTTATTTCAGCTACACTTTATCTTTCAAAGCTGTTCAAAAGGCCAGGTCAGACTCAAGAGTGTGAAGAAATAGACTCTGTCTATTGATCAGAAAATCAGCAACATCACCCTGAAAAGTGGCACATTGCAGACACAGGAGAACTCTGAGCCCATCTTGTACAATATAACACAGAGTATTTTCTACCAACTCAGTATGTATAACCACTGGAGAGCAAGTTGCCACTACACAAGAGAGGGAAACAGAGGAGATAAAGCCTAAGAAATTTCCTGGAAGTATTTTTGCATGATCATACCCAGTGTTTAGAGATTAATAAAAGACAATTACCAGGAACCCTTGAAACATTGCTAGAAACCTCTACAGTAGGCTCCAGTCTTCTACTCAGTGTATGATGCAGGCCTGGAGCGGGGTACTAAAAGACAGAACTAAGAGAGACAGAAAGCAGGGGACCAGGATGATCAATGCCAGTGCAACCCCAGCAAAGGCTTTGGTCCATCCAAGACACTCATTTTTATTGGTAGTCAATTGGGGTAAAGGTGAACTATGTGCAAGGGAAGTACATGTGAGGATGCACAGTCATGCAGTTTCTATGGATATTAATGTAAGCAAGGCTTGTAAAAGACAAAACAAAGCATTCTAGAATTAGGAACAGAATAGACAAAATATATGGTTGTAATTAAAGCATTGTCCTTCTGTTGCAGAAATCTCGGAAAGAAATACACAGAGACACAGAATTTGGATAAAACAATAAAATTTCTTTTCGTGAGCAGACAGGAGCACCAGAAACCAGTCTGGTCAATATCCGCACCCCCTTTGTTCAGCATTTCCCTTTTTATATCCTTTTTAGCCATTATCTCATCCCTAGTGGTCTTTGATATGTAAATACAATTCCAGTTCCTATTTACAAGTCACAGACACAAGATAGGCCATATACATTGTAAATTCATCCTGGCATGGTAACTTTGTTAGGTTAATGAAGTTACTGGTTAGAGTCAGATAATCCTCACCTTAAACAAGGAGTTACAGGAAAAGCAAATCTTAAAAAAACGCATTACTTATTTTGCTTCTACAACTACCTTAATATTCAATCTATTAAGTTATCTAAAACTTCCATATCATTCCTCCCTTTGTTTACTTAGGATAATTCTTCTATCCATTACAAGTTCTATCCAGTTTATCTACATTTTTTTAACACTAGAATTTGGTAGTCTTGAGCTGCAGCACTGTGCTACCATATAAATTTTGAAATCCATTGGATGACACAAGGACCAAACATTAATATTAATATTATCAAGAAGAGACTCAGAAGAGTTCCTATCCAAGTGTTTTTCATTCTGCCCAAGTAAAATTAATCTCATAGGACAGCTCTCCTATGCCAAATTTCTCATCAAGAGCCTTGATCTGGTCTTTTAGTTTGCCTAGTGATTCTTGTACTACACCAGATTTATTAGCATATTAACAACTCTCTTCACCAAGAAATAAGCAAGTCCCTCCTTTCTGAGCAAATCGTGAGCATGCCTATTTTGTAATGACATTGGCCAGTCAATCTAGTTGGGTTTCTAAAGCCTGAAGTGTGTCTCAAATTTCCTCAAGAACTTTTTGAACTTCTTGTCCTAATGAAATATATTACTCCTTCTGGCATACACATAGATATAATATTACATTGACCTTGTTTACAATTGTTACAATTACCAGTGGCTCATTCAACAAGGGAGCCATTGATTCAAACTTGTGTTTCCTCTTTGCAATATAATTTTTCATTAGAATAGGCCCCCACAGTCAGAAGTTATCCCAGGTCCCCCATAATGTTTTTATCAAAGAATATTGTAAACAGATAGCCTTCCAGTTCCCATTTTACCATTTTAAAAGTCACATATTGTTCATCAAATTTTCATAACTAGGCCTAAACACCCATAGTTCAAAAACAAAGAAACTTAAGGTAGTGGTGATCTGGCACAACACAATAATCCATGTCATCCTTGTTGGGGCTCCCATCCTTCAGCCATGCATTGACTCACCAGCCTCCGGAGTGGTGAGAGCAGGGCTTTGAGTGCATTGTCTTTCTCGGCTTTCAGCATCAGCTTTATTGTTACCTTGTGCAATGAAGTCTTTGCTTTTCTGATGTCCTGAACAATATATTACTGTGACTTTGCTAGTTTCCCATACTGCCTCTAGTAACTGTATAATTTCCTGTTTATTTTTAATTAGCTTCCCTTCTGCCATGAGAAGACCTCACTATCGGTAAATCATGCCAATGATGTATAATGTAGCAAATCCATAGCAAAAGCC